AGACCTCCTCCTGCATGAGAATCTCCTCCTCGTACTTCTCGACGATCTCCTCGAACTCGTGATCGCCAGTGGTCATGATCTCCACCAACTTCTAATTTCTTATGAAAAAGAAAAACGAATTCTTCGGCGCGGCCCACGTGACACAGCGCGCGCGGGCAGCGGCCCGTAGGCGCAGCCCACGCGACGATGGCCCACGCTGGGGAAGCCCGCGCGCACTGGCGATTTAGCAAAAGAGACCTCGAACTTCTCCCAAATTACAACTAAGTGCTAATACTATTTTCCCCTCTCCCAAACCTTCTCACTTAACCCCCTGGCTTTCCTGGAATTTCCCTGCACGCACCCCCCGACGACCCAGTGCACGGCGGCGCGGCGGCCGGTGACACAGTGCGGCTGCGCCGGTCACCAGGGACCTGCGACGGACCACCTAATGGGCCGGTCACCATCTCTGACCTGAGCGGCTACGCTAAGCGGCGGTGCGGGGTCACACGACTGGCTAGGGAATGCTGCAGCGACGCATGGCCATCCGCGATGGCGACGCCACTGTTCCGGTGAACTGGGATAGCTACAAGCCTAATTGGTTAGCGTGTGATCATCAGAAGGCTACCATGGACTAGGCCGAGGTGACGGTTGAGGCAGAGGATGATGGAGGAAGGCTGGCCACATGCGGCCAAGCCGTGCGGTGGCGCACCGTGGCGGCACGGTCGCGTTAGCAATGACGGGGAGGCGGTAGCGGTTCGGCTAAGGCGCGCAGGGTGAAGAGGGAGTCAAGGCGATGCTAGTAGTGCAGGTGAATTGGTTCAGGATGGGCAGTAGGAGGGCTGCCCTCGACCATGGCCGAGCACGGCCTTAATGGCACGGCAACAGGAAAACTCCAAATTGGAACTTGGCCTTGCACGGTTCAAGGCTAGGTACGGTTGGCCAGCGAGATGACGTGATGTTGAACCTGTGGATGCACTGAATTGAATGGAGGTGATCGTTCACTGGGTAATTTGATGGTGCGGCTCGACGGCGGCAGCAGAGGGAGAAAGAGAGAGACGGGGCGGCAGGTGGGCTCGGCTTGGCCCTGCCTCGGTGGGACGCGGTCGGCGTGATCGTGGAGGCCCACGCGCAGGCGCTAGCAGACAAGTGCGCGCGTTTGCGACCGACGTAGCCCGCGCGCCGCAGTGCCATCAATGACAAGGCGACGGTGAACCCAGCCACGTGCGCGCAGCAGAGGCGGCATCGCACTGGGCCGGCAGCGGTGCAGAGATGCAGAGGGAGGCATTGACGAGGACATGACACCCATGCATATGACCATGTTTGGCGCATGGTATGGAGGGATAGGAGGCCAGCAAGGGTGTCCAAGTCAAGAAGGAGGCCCGAGGCTAATTCGGTTCGAGTCCCCAAGGTGGAGACCCAAAGCAACTCAAGTTCGAGCCCGTCTCGGAGTTCAGGAGCAGCACGTACTAAAAACGACGCCCAGGTCGCATACGGTGTCCGTTTTGGGCGTTCTTTATATGGATGGAAAGATAATTTTATGGTGCTTCCAATGGCACTAGTCCCACCTTAAAATTTGATCGGAGTCAATGGGAATTATTGAAACAAGTGGACGTCCAACAGAAACCGGAGGCCTGGTCCAACATAATTTTGAGTCTGCCTCGGTCTCCAGGACCAGTCTGCCTTAAACTGGTCACCCAGGACGCATCCGGACTCCGTTTTTGACGATCCATATATGGTTGGAAAGATAATTTGATAAGGAAGCCAATCCAAGTGGTCTCACGTCAAAAGCCTTTCAGAATCAACGGGAATCATCGAAATAATTCAGCGTCCAGAATGTGTCAGGGTGTTGCGACACCGTCTTTTGGTCCGTTGGACCGTGTATCGTGTTTAGGCCCATTAGGGGGCACGTCTAGGGTAGGCGATGACCCTAAGACCTTTATAATCATACACCACCACCGTCATTAGGTTTTGGGTTTTGCTTAGATTATTCTGTCAAGAACAGTTTCGCCGTTCATCGGTTTGTAAGACCCCAACTTCATGAGATTAATCATTCATCTGCAATTTGGTTGTGTTCTTTCTTGTTCTTGCTTGTGTTCTTCATTGCGCAGGCAAGGATTAGCCTTCTTGGCGAGGTCAACCTGGTCCGTGACTTGTTGATAACCAGAGGAGCTGTGGTGCTAAGATTGCAGGGTTCGATCTTTCGATCTGAAGCCGGATCAGTGTGTCATTCTCCGCCACAACGATAGTTACCTCTACCTGACGGAAGATTGGGATTCCCGTCCTCATTACGCATGGACATGACGAGGAGGCGATGGCACCGGCAGCAAGCAGCCTTGACGCTGGTGGGTCGGCAGTCTTGCGGCGGCCAGGGGGTGGCGGCGGCGTTGCACGTGCTGCGCAAAGCAACAGCGATGGCTCCACACAGCCAGAGCAATGACGGTCGAACCACAGCAGCGAAGATGGCGGCCACGCAGACATCTCTGCGTGGCGACGCCGAACGCCCAAGTGTGGTGACCGCATCCACGCGGCCAACCAGCCCGAAACTGCGTCGTGCACGACTTTTAAAGTGCCTATAAAAACTAAATGGTTGCTTCTGGACCTTAACCATCTTCATCATACTCAAGATGGCATATGAGACTACCAAATCGAGCTATAACACTACACCACCCCTTAACCCAATCTCTCAAAATAATTTGCAAAACATAGCAATGTCTAGCTGTTGACAAACTTGGAAATTTTCTAAGTTTTTGAGCTGAAGTTGATTTCAATTTATAATTTCTAGGCTAGTAGAAATATTAGTTAGTAATATCATTTTTCAACAGCAAGTATTTCACTGCCATCTACAGAGTTCATATTCCAATCTTTATTTAAGCGCCACATATATATTCTATAGTATTTTTGTTCAATAAAAATTAGTTTTAAACTCTACTTGATATACATGAGCTATTGAATCAATTTTCGTTTAACATTTTTATTAGTCATTTTAGGTTACAAGAAATTCATCTACACACTTTATCACATGCACTAACAAATAAACATGATGCGCATGACATATTTTAGTAAATGATTTAGGGTGTAACACTGAGGGTGTTACAGCACAGCTGTCGTATGTGGCTCAGCGGTGCAAAAGGAGCACGCCAGCAAGCCTCCCGGTATACGGATTCTTACTCCTGCCCTCGGCCAGGCCCTCCACATGAGAGAAAAGACGATTGTTTGGTTGGCACAGCTGTTGTATCTGGCTCACGTAGTGCAAAAGGAGCACACCAACCTGCCTCCTGGGATATGGATTCTTGCTCCTGCCCTCAGCCAGGCACCCCACATGTGAGAACAGGTGATCCCGCAGCTGTCATATTTGGCTCACGCGGTGCAAAAGGAGCACGCCAGCTTGCCTCTCGGGACACGGATTCTTTCTTCATTTTTCATGGGCCAGGCTCGTTGCATGCATCCGCGCACATGCGCCTACACCGACCACAAAGGAGCGGTGCGGAACAGGAGCAAACCAAACGATTTCTTTCTCGGTCCTGGCTCCATGGATACAACTAAACACAAGGCCATTGCATCTGGGCAACCTGGCAACCGTGGGCCTACATGGCAGGCATGAGACAGGCTACATTAGGAAGGAAACCAACTGTGCCATAAAGGCACGCAGCCTGTTCGATTGGCTGGTTCGTTTCGTTGCTGGTTCATGAAGAAGTACTGCTGGCTGATTTGTGTGAGAGAAAAATACTGTTCCGGCTGGAAATTTACGATCGTTTACGACAAGCAACAGCCAAACGAACAGGCTGACGGTCTTTACGCTTCACATGCACGGCCTGGTATACGTGAGAAGGCCGGAGAAAATCCCGCCGAACGCCATGTGATTTTTTTGCGTGTTGGTCATCCTCGCGTAACTGAATAAGCAGGAAAATAAACTATAGAGTCCGAAATCGTGATTTTGGCGATCGCCGTTCCAAGCAGGGCCTTAGTCGTCGGACAGCTATGGAAGAATAGAACAAAGAGCACCTCAATCATGCGTCATAGCTTAAAAGGAGTTCAATTGGACTTGTTCTTCTTCATTAATCTTTCCATCATGTTTCGTGGACAAGCATGTAAAAAATTAAGCATGTTTATACGTCCGTGGACAAGCATATTTCCATCCCTATTTAGGCTCTATTTAGTCATACTTCTTGGGGCTATATATACCTCCACGCTTCTGCATGGAAAGAGTTTGAGCCACAAATCGTGATTTCTTCGGGTCTCACGTCCATTTCACGTGGAGAGAAATAAATAGTTCCTATGAACGATGCTACTATATTTACAGGTGTATAAAACAATCGGAACCGCAACAAAATCGTGCCAACCCGACACTTGTTATCGCTATAAATCGAGTATATAGTTTGCAAAATTGCGCACGGAATGGTCTAACGCTATCAATACAACGAAGATGGAAGAAAAAGGACAGAGTTTGGTAGGAGTACACGAGAGCAACTACACTTGGAGACGAACCTGCAGCGACCTCATGCTCTATTCACACAGATCATGAAGCGCCAAACATGGATCCGACGGCTGTGCGGGCCAACCTACGCGGCCGCGACATCCAACGTGAGCCACGAGGCGGATCCGAGCGAGCCAGCGGCAGAGCGGACACGGTAGCTGACGCGCATGAGCATGACGCGCCGACGCACACGACACGGCCCCCGGGAACGCGACGGGCCGACGGCAGGAGCCGCCGAAACGCGCTAGGGGCGGCGGCCTGGGCCCCACGCACGCCCCAAGCCCGGTCCACAGTCAGATGAGACCTCACCTTCCGTGCGTCTGCTCTCCCGCGTGGGCCCCCACACTCCACCTCACCCCGTCACCGTCCCGCCGCCCCCCTCCCCTCCCGTGTGTATATAATATTCCCGCGCCTCGCCAGCGGCATTCCCATCCCTCCTCCCTAGCTCCACGGCAGTCGGCAGACAAGCAGGAGAGAAGGCAAGGCGAGAAGAAGCCTGCGAGCGGCGAGTGCGCGAGGCGACACCAGTTGGGTTACTGCTCCATCCATGGCGCCCAAGAGATCGACGTCGCCGTCCGGAAGCAGCGGCGGCGGCGTGTGCGCGGAGGCGGCGGCGGAGCAGCCGAGGCTGCGCGGCGTGCGGAAGCGGCCGTGGGGCCGGTACGCGGCGGAGATCCGGGACCCCGTGCGGAAGGCGCGCGTGTGGCTGGGCACCTTCGACACGCCCGAGCAGGCGGCGCGGGCGTACGACGCCGCCGCGCGCAGGCTCCGCGGGCCCGGCGCCACCACCAACTACCCCCAGGCCCCGGAGCCGATGGCGCTGGCGGAGGCTCCAGCGGCGAGCGCGAGCGCGAGCGCGAGCGGGAGCGCCGTGGTGTACGAGTCGTCGTTGTCGTCGTCGTCGTCCTCGTGCTCCCTGCTGCCGCCGCAGGAGTCGCTGGCGGCGGTGACGGTGGCGGTTGCGGCGCCGCCGGCCCCGTCGCTGGACCTCAGCCTCGCGCTGCCGGCTTTGGCGGCGGCCGCAAACACGTACCAGCTGTTCATGGACCCGACGGCGGCCGTGACGCCGGCGCTGCTGCAGTTGCTGCCGCCGAAGAGCGAGGAGGAGCGAAGCTGCTCTGGTTTGTCGTCGTCGTCTGTTGTGTTCGACGCGGCGCCGCCCGTGGGCCTGGGGCTGGACCTCAACCTGGCGCTGCTGCCGCCGGCCGAGATGGTCATGTGAATGTGATTGCCGCCGTCCAGGAGACTCTAATCGATCGCTTAATTAATTAGGCCATGTTCACTTATTTAGCGAACAAACAATGTTTTAGCGATGCGAACCGGGCGTTAGTCATTGTTTTCCTCTCACCCAGCGATGCGAACAGGGCGTTAGTCATTGTTACTAGTAGCTAATCGATCGAGGCAGTCGTTCAGGTGTAAATAGGATGAAGATTTGTGCATGCGCGTAGCCCTGTTTTCTTTGTTTGTACTGACAGATTTGCATCTTTGCTGCAAGTCTCGCAACAATGAAAAAAGAAGAGCATCTTTGCATCTTTGCTGCAAGTCACCCAAGCGGCTCTCATTTTTATTTCCGTCACTTTTGAACTCCCGCAGTTACACGACTTCGAGGCAACGCACTCGTTTCGTGTCGGCAGCCGCGCCGGGACCCGGCCCGGACGGCGGGATTTTTAAAAAAAAAATAGGAAAGCGACGTGTGTGTGCGGGAGGGCACCGTCCAACCCCCTGACAGCGGCGCCTGCTGCGCCGACGACGAACGTCTCCACCAACCGCCCCAAGTCCACACGACCCGGCGGCGCGGCTGTTGGCCGGCGCCGTTCCGTCCGTGCGCGTGCGGGTGGGGGCACTCGCAGTCGCAGCCGCCGCCGCCGCCCTCGCCACGCTACGACGCTACTGCCTGGCTGCCCACCTGCACATATTCCCTCGCGATGCGTTTCTTTTTTTCTTCTCAAATCACGACGTCGCTTTTTTTAAGGGAAAAAAAATCACGACGCCGCTTTGGAGTACCGGTGCCTTTCTCTTGAACCTTGGGCAGATTTTTTCCAGCTGTTTGGAAGAGCAAAACCACCTGCTGACCTGCCGATCTAGGCATTGGTAGTTGGAGCATGCACTGTCCTAAGAAAATACTCTCTGTGTTTTAAATTATAAAATGTTTTAGTTTTTCTAGATATCACGTGCTTAGATACACACTATGTCTAAATATATATAGCAAAAATAATATACCTAAAAAACCAAAATATCATATAATTTAGAACGGTGTTATATTCGGCCCGATCGCAGAAGAGCTTTTTGTGGCTACAAGCAAGCAGACCTACTATTAATGTTCTTTTATCTATATAGAGCAAATAAAGTCAGAAAAAACAGAATAATTTCTATGTGCATTAATTACCTTGTTATATAAACGTTTTTATCGATGTGGCATGAACTATAAAAGAAGGAAATAAGGGTGTGGTTGGTTGCATGCTCCTGCCCTCAGCCTGACGATTGTTTGGTTGGCGTAGCTATCGATATGAGCAAATAAAGACACTCTCAATAAAGAAAACAGGATAGTTTCTATGTGTATTAGTTACCTTGTTATATAAACGCTTTATCGGTGTGGCAAGAAATCTATTGAAGAGGAAGAAGAAAAATTAGAGCGTGGTTGATGCCTGCTCCTTGAAAGGACTTTGATAACGTCTAGAGGGGGGTGAATAGGCGCTTCTAAAAATTACCAACAAATAAAACTTACATCGGATTAGTAGAGTGCGCGGCACTGCTGCTCTAATGCTGCAGCACTGCCGCACTGTAGCAATGCCTCACTCAATATGCAGCACTGTCGCGCCCTTGCAGACAGCTCAACACAAGCTGCGCATATAACTCAAACTTGGAGATGTGCTTGAGATGTCTAGTAGCAATTCCTAACTGCACTCACAAACACGCACAACCCAGTAGATCAAGTGGAACACAAAAAATGCAAATCAACACAAGAGAGAAGATACACGATTTATCCCATGGTTCAGCTCGCCACTAAGACTTGCCTATGTCTACGTTGTTGAGGAAGCCACTAAGGCTTGGGCTTTTCAACCCTTATCCTCGTTCTTAAGTCAAGAGAGTGAACTCTTAAGATGAGATGTATCCACTAGATCAATGGAGTGATTATAGACTTTCTCGCGGCTCACCACAAGCATGGGAGCTCGCCGAGCGACGCCTAGCCGTCTAGGAGACTTCACCTCCAAGAGTAACAAATGTGCAACGAAGATCGACGATCCCCGACAAGTGCTCAAGGTTTTGCTTGCTCTAATCAACTCTCTAACATTAATCATACGCTAATCACTCTCTCACAAAGAGGGGTCAGAGAGAGCTCAAACAAAGCTTGAGAAGGGTTTGGAATGTTCAGATCATCAGAAGCCTCACCAGGAGGCGTGGGATGGGTATTTATGGACCCAATCCCAAAACTAGCCATTGTGACATGTATAGGTGCAGCACTGCCACGCCGACCCGTGGCATTGCCGTGGCGCGTCACTGCTGCGAAAATTCGCGGCACTGCCTTAGCTCTGCAAAACAGCATAGGTCACCTCACAGAAAATGCCATATTTTTTTACTCCGAACTCCGTTTTCAATGGTCATAGACTTTTCGAAAAGCTTGTTTCGAGGGCTATCCAACCTAGCAGAGAACAAGCCCCAAGATCAATAAGTGCAAGTGTTGTGCTAATGTGTTTCTCTCATGTTAGCACTTGGGTTCGGTTAGTTTGAGCACTTGAGACTTGTCTATGATTCATATTGCATCCCTCTTGATAATACAGCATACCTATACTCAAGATCAAGAGAATATGAACATTTCAACCACTTGAGTCTTCAATATCTTCATATGCCACTTCTTCTCAATGTCACTTCATAAGGGGTTGCAATCATCTTTGTCTCATCTCTTCGAGCAAACATACCTTAAGCATGTGACTTGAACCATTTCCATATATATGAGTTCACCTCATGGCTTCAAGTCACTTCTACTAATGATTTAATCCTTAACACAATATGACTCCTCATAGCTTGATTAGTTCCTCGATTTAATGCAAGTACTCTATTCTTCACCTTAGCTATGGTACCTCGGTCCTAAAGCCATCGCTTGCCTTTCACCTCCACTTAGTCCCTCGAAGCCCTTTCCTTACTATTTTCACATTATCAAGTCATACTCAAGTCACATCATACTAAGCATCCATTGAAAAATCATTTCTTCAATATTGTGATCTTTGCTTGAATATCTTTTAGATATGAAAGTTCATATCAATCAAGCTTTAGTTAGACTCACATAGAGACATATATGGATCAACATCAATATGGTCAAGCCAATTCACGATTCCTTATATCCTCTTCATTTTGGCTTGACATTCCTAACACTTACTTCAATCTTTATCTTCATACTTCTAGGTTGATCATATTAATGCAAAGTGATTTTTCAAATCTTTATCCATACCAGCAAACCAATGTCGAGAACATCTTATATCCATTATACATTGTCTCCTTTGTCATTTCACCTTTGCTTGACATTTCCTCACTTATACACTCTTGATTTATTCTTCAATCCTTGATCAAAGCTAATCCACTGTCAAACTCTTCTTATTCATGCAAAACAAGCCATTATTGAAACCAATCCAAAATCATCAACTCACGTCTCATTTACCATTTACCAAATATGCTTGCTTTCTCATGATACTATGATATCCCATAACATAGAAGTCATTTCATTGATTTCATTTGCATTGTTGTCTTTTTTTAACTATATTGTTTCCATGATCTTTCAACACAACAATACACAATTTGGCCTTGATTTGAACACTATGTGGAATATTATCCAGTTTGCCTTCTTGTTAAACCTATATACACTTCTCATTCCACAATCCACAAGTGTATGCAATAAACTCAATTTTCTGTTCAACACTTAACAAACTTGTTAGACCTTTAATGTGTTGTCATTCAATTCACCAAAACTGAAAGGTCCTAATATGGCTAGAGGGGGGGGGTGAATAGCCTATTTAAAAATCTACAAATCAACTAGAGCAATTTGATTAGTATGACAAATAGCGTAATGCAAACTTGCTCTAGCTCTACAAGGGTTGCTAGCCACCTATCCAACAATTCTAGTTGTAATGATTACTTAGGCACACAAACTTGCTATGTAATTACCCACTAAGAGCTCTCAATCTTGCTACTCTAAAGAGCTCAACTAGATGAATGTAAATAATGAAGCAAGCTCTCAATTCTAATTACACTAAAGAGCTTATATCAACTAGTTTGCAAGAATGTAAATAAGTGAGTAGGGTGATTATACCGACGTGTAGGGGATGAACCAATCACAAGAAGAATATATAGCCAATCACCGGGAGAATGCCAAAGACAAGAGACAATCGATTTTCTCCCGAGGTTCACGTGCTTGCCAACACGCTACGTTCCCGTTGTGTCGACCAACACTTGGTGGTTCGGCGGGTGTTTCACAAACCTCGTCCACACGATAGGACACCGCAAGAACCGACCCACAAGTGAGGTAACTCAATGACACAAGCAATTTACTAGAGTTACCTTTCGGCACTCCGTCGGGGAAGGTACAACTCCCCTTACAATCACCGGAGATGGCCACGAACAATCACCAACTCGTGCCAATCCTCCACCGCTGCTCCAATCGTCTAGGTGGTGGCAACCACCAAGAGAAACAAGCGAAATCCGCAGCGCAACACGAATACCAAGTGCCTCTAGATGCAATCACTCAAGCAACGCACTTGGATTCTCTCCCAATCTCACAATGATGATGGATCAATGATGGAGATGAGTGGGAGGGCTTTGGCTATGCTCACAAGGTTGCAATGTTAATGAAAGTGTACATAAGTATATGCTTGAGCCAGCCATGGGGCTATATATAGAGCCCCAAACAAATAGAGCCGTTATACCCCTTCACTGGGCAAAATGCGCTCTGACCGGACGCTCCGGTCATACAGACCGGACCCTGGACTCAGCGTCCGGTCCACTGATTTATGCCATGGGACACTAGCTTCAAACGCTATTCGTCAGATTTCAACGGCTACGTAATTGACTGGACGCTCCGGTAAAACTGACCGGACACTGAAGCCCCAGCGTCCGGTCGTTTCCAGTAAGTTCCCCGAGGCGTATTTCTTCGACCGGACGCGTCCGGTCCACCTTGACCGGACGCAGACCAGCGTCCGGTGCAATACCCTCGGTACTGTGCAGACCCGTCAGTTTGACCGGACGCATGCTGTCAGGGTCCGGTGCTTTCAGACCCAGCGTCCGGTCAGTTGACCGACGCCAGCGTCTTCGCGATCAACTCGTTTTCACTTCTAACTTCTTCACCCTTGCTCCAATGTGCCAACCACAAGAATTTACATCCGGCGCAATAGAAAATAGGCATTCCATTTTCCCGAAAGCGCCGAAATGCATAAGTGTTAGCATATTTTCACAAGTGTATCACCTCCTTTGTAAATGTGCCAACACCACCAAGTGTATCACCTTGTGCACAAGTGTTGGCATATTTTCACAAACATTTTCAAGGGTGTTAGCACTCCACTAGATCCTAAATGCATATGCAATGAGTTAGAGCATCTAGTGGCACTTTGATAACCGCATTCCGATACGAGTTTCACCCCTCTTAATAGTACGGCTATCAATCCTAAATGTGATCACACTCTCTAAGTGTCTTGATCACCAAAACAAAATAGCTCCTATGGTTTATACCTTTGCCTTGAGCTTTTTGTTTTTCTCTTTCTTCTTTCCAAGTCCAAGCACTTGATCATCATCATGGTATCATCATCATCATACTATGATCTTCATTTGCTTCATCACTTGGAGTGTGCTACCTATCTCATGATCACTTGATAAACTCGGTTAGCACTTAGGGTTTCATCAATTTACCAAAACCAAACTAGAGCTTTCAAAAACCCACTAAAGGGCTAGATGCACTTACACTCCTACCCTCAGCTAGGCCCTTCGCATGCGAGAACAGGCGATTGTTCGGTTGGCACAGCTGTCGGACCTGGCTCACATGGTGCAGAAAGGAGGGCGCTAGCCTGCCTCACGAAATTTGGATTCTTTCTTCATTTTTCATAGGCCAGGCTCGCTGCATGCATCCACGCACTTGTGCCCACAACAACTAGAGAGGAGCGGTGCGGAACGTGAGCAAACCAAATGTGCATTAATTACCTTGTTATATAAACATTTTATCGGTGTGGCAAGAAATCTATTGAAGAGGAAGAAGGAAATAAGAGCATGGTTGGTGCCTGCTCCTACCCTCAGCCAGGCCCTTCTCATGCGAGAATAGGCGATTGTTTGGTTGGCACGGCTGTCGGACCTGGCTCACACGGTGCAAAAAGGAGGGCGCCAACCTGCCTCCTGGGATACGGACTCTTTCTTCATTTTTCACATGCCAGGCTCGCTGCATCCATCCACGCACTTGTGCCTACAACAACCAGAGAGGAGAGGTGCGGAAGATGAGCAAACCAAATGTGCATTAATTACCTTGTTATATAAACATTTTATCGATGTGACAAGAAATCTATTGAAGAGAAAGAAGAAAATAAGAGCGTGGTTGGTTGTCTGCTCCTGCCCTCAGCCAGGCCCTCCACATGTGAGAACAGGCAATTGTTTAGTTATTGCAGCTTATCGTGACCGCCTCACGCAAGGATTACAAAAGGCGCGTGCCGACCGCCTCCCGAGATACGGATTCTTTCTTCGTTTTTCACGGGTCAGACTCGCTGCATGCATCCACGCACATGTACCTACACCAACCAGAGAGGAGCTGTGCGGAATAGGAGCAAACCAAATGTGCATTAATTACCTTGTTATATAAACGCTTTATCGATGTGGCAAGAAATCTACTGAAGAGAAAGAAGGAAATAAGGGCGTGGTTGGTTGCCTCCTCCTGCCCTCAGCCAGGCCCTCTGCATGCGAGAACAGGTGATTGTTTGGTTGGTGTAGCTATCGAATCTGGCTCACGTGGTGTAAAAGGAGCGTGCCAGCCTGCCTCCCGGGATACAGATTCTTTCTTCAATTTTCATGGGCCAGGCACGCTGCATGAATCCGCGCACATGTGCCTACACCAACCAGAGAGGAGCGGTGCGGAATAGGAGCAAACCAAATGTGCATTAATTACCTTGTATAAACTCTTTATCGATGTGGCAAGAAATCTACGGAAGAGAAAGAAGGAAATAAGGGCGTGGTTGGTTGATCCTCCTGCCCTCAGCCAGGCCCTCCGCATGCGAGAACAGGCAATTGTTTGGTTGACGCAGCTATCAGACCTAGCTCACGCAGTGCAAAAAGGGCATGTCAGCCTGCCTCTACGGGATACGGATTCTTTCTTCGTCATTCACAGGCTAGGCACGCTGCATGCATCCGAGCACATGTACCTACACCAACTAGAGAGGAGCGGTGCGGAACAGGAGCAAACCAAGTGTTCATTAATTACCTTGTTATATAAACGCTTTATCGATGTGGCAAGGAATCAACTAAAAAGAAAGAAGGAAATAAGGGTGTGGTTTGTTGCCTCCTCTTGCCCTCAGCCAGACCCTCTGCATGCGAGAATAGGCGATTGTTTGGTTGGCGTAGCTATCAGACCTGGCTCATGCAGTGCAAAAGGAGCATGCCAGACTGCCTCCCGGGATACGGATTCTTTCTTTGTTTTTCACGGGCCAGACATGTTACATGCATCCGCGCACATGTGCCTACACCAATCAGAAAGGAGAGGTGCAGAATAGGAGCAAACCAAATGTGCATTAATTACCTTGTTATATAAACGCTTTATCGATGTGGTAAGAAATCTATTGAAGAGAAAGAAAGAAATAAGGGTGTGGTTGGTTGCCTCCTCCTGCCCTCAGCCAGGCTCTCCACATGCGAGAACATGCGATTATTTGGTTGGCGCAGCTATCGGACTTGGCTCACGCAGTGCAAAAGGAGCGTGCCAGCCTACATCCGTGGGATACGGATTCTTTCTTCGTTTTTCATGGGCCAGGCTCAATGCATGCATCCATGCACATGTGCCTACACCAACCAGAGAGGAGCGGTGCGAAATAGGAGCAAACTAAATATGTGCATTAATTATCTTGTTATATAAACTCTTTATCGATGTGGCAAGAAATCTACTGAAAAAGAAAGAAGGAAATAAGAGTGTGGCAAGAAATCTACTAAAGCGTCAAACATCGATCCGACGACTGTGCGGGCCAACCTACGCGGCCGCGACACCCAACGTGAGCCATGAGACGGATCTGATCTGGGTGAGCCAGCGTCATAGTGGACACGGTAGCTCACGCGCATGAGCACGACGCGCCGACGCACACGAAACGGGTCCCGGGGACTATAGATGGGTAACGGCCCGGCACAGCCGGAAGGGGTTGGGCCAGCACGGCACGTTGTGCCTCCTCGGCCGTGCCTTTAGGGCCGTGGGCCTGGCCTTCGGCCCAGGCCCGACACTATGGGCTGTTTTCTGGGCCGGGGTGGCCCGAGAAGCACGCACAATCTAGTAGGCCGGGCTGGCTCGAGGCCCATGCCGTGGAGCAGGGAAGGAGGCGAGGCCGCGAGGGTCTATCGCGACGAGGCTGGCGTCAACGGCGTTGGAGACGGGGATGAGGCAGGTGTTGCCGTGTCGGCAAGGTGGCGGACTCGGTGCTTCGGCTTCGGTCAGGAGAGAAGTGAGGAGGAAGAGAAGGGCGCGCGCGGCCACTTGGGGCGTCACCCGTCGACGGAGAAGCCAGCAACGACAGTGATGTGGCGAGCGCATGTCGAGGAGACAGCGGGACCCGTGCACTGCTTTGCTTGGAGTAGGAGGCGGGTGGGGGCTCCGAGTGGGGACTGGGGAAGTGGGGAGTGGGCGGCGGCGATCGTGACTCGCGAGTGTGGCATGACGCGCGGGAAGAGAGGAGAGCCGGGCGCGAGAGAGTGCGATGCTGAGAAGGAGGGATTGAAGTTAGGGTTAAAGGCTAGGGACACAGGGTGCTTTTACCGGTCGCCACAGTGCCTGGGTGTGCTAGTCGGGCCATGTCGTGATGGCCTGGCGTGCCTAGCTGCGATCTAGGCACGGCCTGCTCCTTCACACCGTGCCAGCCTGACAGACTCGGCTGCATGCCCATATATACTAGGAACCCGATGGCAGGAGCCGCCAAAACGCGCTGGGCCCGGTGGCCTGGGCCCATGCACGCCCAAGCCCGGTCCACAGTCACATCAGACCTCACCTTCCATGCGTTTGCTTCTGCTCTCCTTCCCCATCCCCCACGTGGGCCCCCCACTCCACCTCACCCTGTCACCGTCCCGCCGCCCCCCTCCCGTGTGTATATATATTCCGGCGCCTCCCCAGCGGCATTCCCATCCATCCTCCGAAGCTCGATGGTAGCAAACAAGCAGAAGAGAAGGCAACAAGCCTACGAGTGGCCAGTGCGCGAGGCGACACCAGTTGGGTTACTGCTCCATCCATGGCGCCTAAGAGATCGACGTCGCCATCCAGAAGCAGCGGCAGCGACAGCGGCGTGTGCGCGGCGACGGCGGTGGAGCAGCCGAGACTGCACGGCGTGCGGAAGCGGCCGTGGGGCCGGTACGCGGCGGAGATCCAGGACCCCGTGCGGAAGGCGCGCGTGTGGCTGGGCACCTTCGACACGCCCGAGGAGGCGGCACGGGCTTACGACGCCACCGCGCGCAGGCTCGCAGGCCCGGTGCCACCACCTACTACCCTCAGGCCCCGGAGCCGATGCCGGAGCCGGATCCAGCTGCGAGCGTGAGCGGGAGCGGGAGTGGGAGTGCTGTGGTGTACGAGTCGTCGTCGTCCTCGTGCTCCCTACTGCAGGAGTCGGTGACTGTGGCGGTCGCGGCGTCGCCCCCGTTGCTGGACCTGAGCCTGGCGCTGTCGTCTTCGACGGCCGCGCAGCCATACCATATGTTCATGGACCCGACGGCGGCGGTCGTGACTTCGGCGCTACTGCAGTTCCTGCCGCCGAAGAGCGAGGAGCAGAGCTGCTCTGGACAGTCGTCGTCTGGTGTGTTCAACGCGGCGACGCCCGTGGGCCTAGGGCTGGACCTCAACCTGGCACTGCTGCAGGCCGAGATGGTGATGTGATTGCCGCCGTCCACGAGACTAATCGGTTGCTTATAATTATGGATTAAGTTCCCTTTTGACCCCTCAACTATTGTGTTCCTCTGATTTTAACCCCCAACTACAAAACTAGTGTTGGTACTCTAACTATTAAAACCGATTACTTTTAGCACCTGGGCACGGAAGAGGCTGTTTTGTCCGGCGTGGAACAGGTTTGACCATGCCACGCTGGCATTGACCGACACGTAGGACGCTGGCCTACATCTCAGTGACATGTGGGGCCCACGCGTCACCCACTCATTCCCTCCCCTCCTTCCTCCAGCTCTAGCAGCATTCGGACAGTGCAGTCGAGTCGTCGTCGCCGCCACCGGACAAGCAGGCTGTTGCGCCATGGCCGGCGAGCGCAGCTGCTGCATTGCTGTGAGGCGGGTGAGGGCCGTCGAATCCGCCGCCCAGCTCGTGTGTCGTCTAGCTCTGCCGAGCTCGAGCACCACCAACCGCGCCATTATAGCCGCTGCTCCCCTTGCAATCATTCGTTGCCGTCTGGCTGCCACGTCGCCGCTGAGCGAGCGTGTGCGCGGGCTGCCGTGTCGGGCTAGCTAAGCCACCGTCGGGCTCACGCGCTAGGGCCACCGGACGAGCAGGCGGCCGCGCCATGGCCGACAAGCGCGCGCGAGCGGGACGTCGTGCTGCTGCCTCCACTGGCTGCCCCCCGCGGAGGCGCCCGCGGCCTGCGGCCCCTGTCCCTGCGCAGCTTCGTTCTCAGACGGACACAACCAAGGCATCAGTTGAGGCGGAAGAAGTCCGAGCAGGGTTGGCCACGTGCGAACCGGCGGGACTGCAGTGTTCTGAGACTGGCACGACAGGACTTCAAATTCGTCGTCTATAGGTCACGGATGGCTCTCGATGTGGGCAGGGCAGCTAGGTAACTCCCATGGCCGCTTATTGGTGGAAGGAAATGGGTTGAGATGATCCGAGCTGTACGAATTTGAAGAACGAAGGAAGCTCTGTTTTCGGCGTCAATGGCTCCGGCAAGGTGACTTGACTGGGCGTGCCGCGACAGCTCGCTGCACGCGCAGGTGGACGTCCTCGTCATGCCCTACACGCTAGTCCCAGCTAGCCCCGGCCTTGCCTCGACGCCGTTCGGCTACAAAAGCCACAGATGAATGCCGGGACCGTGCCCGGCCACCATTGTTGCCGTGACCGAGTTCGCGGATGGCTGCGCCCTCTCTGCTGACTCCCTTCCTTTTTCTTGCAACGTTTTGGCTCCGTCCTTCTGCCACGCACATGCCATTTGAGCAATTTGGACTAAGGAGGCGCTGTCCGACGGAAACAGCATGCGCTGCCGCCGCCGCCATGAACCGGCGAGCTCAGTTGCGGCGCATGGAGGAGGCGTCCGCGGCGAGCTCGGCTGCGGCGCAGGGAGGCGGCGTCCGCGTCCATAGCCTGCTCGAGCGCCACCGCCCTGCTCGCCGCCGGTGACGGGAGGAAAGAGAGGGGCCAGTGTGGCACGGTCAACGCCAGCATAGCATGGTCAAACCCGTTCCACGCCGGACAAAACAGCCTCTTCAGCGCCTAGGTGTTAAAAGTGAACCGTTTTGACAGTTAGAGTATCAACACTAGACGGTTTTGTAGTTGGAGGTTAAAATCAGATGAACACAATAGTTGAGGGGCCAAAAGTAGACTTAATCCTATAATTAATTAATTAGTCAATCGATGGGGCAGTCAGATTTGTGTACGTGCAGGCGCGTTGCACTCTGTTTTCTTTGTTTGTACCGACAGATTTCCATCTTGCTGCAAGTCACGCAACAATGAAAAAAGAACGAGGATAATTATGGCCCCAGCGGCTCTCATTTTCCTTCGCTTTCTGAAACCTATCATGTCTGAACTGATGAAGCCGTAACGTGTCACACAGTATGGCATCGGCTCCGGGACTCGGCAAGAGAATAGACCGCTCGTTCGCTGGGCTGGGGCTGGCTGGCCAGCCCCCTCCCATGGCTACTGTAGCAGCAAACCAGTCAACAGTATCACTCTCTCACATAAACGAACCAGCAACAATACGAACCAGTCAACCGAACAAACCGTCTAAGTTGCCGGCACGGATGGATAGATTGCGAGCGCCGGCACCGCCCGGAACGCGTCGCCGGGCAAGTACCTCGAGGTTTCGCTGCAGGCACGCCTATAGTAGGAAGGAATAAATAAAATATGATTATGGTGGGTGTGGGCGACTGGCGAGGAGGCGTGCGCGCACGGCAGACGGCACCGCCCAGAGCTGACAACGCGCGGCGCGGCGCGTCGTGGCGATACGGCTGCCCGCTCTCATCTCTCCCGGCTGCAGCTGGGGTATGGGGATGCACGCGCGCGTCGCTTTCGGGCAACTACCCCCAGTCCCAGAGGCCAGAGCAGAGTTGGTGGCAGCGGCAGGCGACAGGGCGGCAGCTCCACCTCCAAGGGCGCCGCTGTTGGACAGCCAGTTCGGCTCGAGTCCATGTACACGTATACTGGTTGGGACGTTAACCGTGTCTCTGGTACGAGGGATATCTCGGGTTCGGTCCCGATGGGCTGCGTTTGGTCGACGAGCCGTGTGGATTTAGGCTGCGTTCGGCTGACGCCATATTGATCCGCTTCTTTTTTTTTCATCTGGAATTGTGTTTCTTTCTCACAGATTCATTCGTAAACAGTAACTTTTTCTGTTGCTACAGTGATTTTCGTGTCTGCCGAACGTAGCCTAAGGGGACGAGCTCGGCTCACATCCACGTGCGTTCTGCTCCGTCTCGCAGGGGCAACTGGTCAGCACGGGTGCTCGGGGAGGTGGCGGCGGCGCGGGCGCTCGGGGCAGTGGTGGCGGGCGCGAGCGAGCTCAAGGGCATGGGTTGGGCGTCGTCAGCCGGAGCAAGGCAGCGCAGGGCAGGCCGCGACGGCCGGATGCGCAGGGCGAGCTCCGTCCCCTGGCCATGGTGGCGCGCGACGAGATCCGGACGAGCCGTGGCGCGGGGCAAGGTGGCGGCAGCACGAGTCCAGCCTAGGGCGTGGGAGGTGGTGGCAGCGCGGGATGGGCAGCGATGCTCTATTGGAAGGTTGGTGGAAGAAGATGGAAGGTTGGCTAATAGCTGGATCTCATATCTAACAACAGCTCACGGTGTCTAGAATGACATCATTCCAACCCATCTAATCCCTCACACCAAACGCTCCATTCCCCTAGCCAAAACGCGAGATTGATTCAACCTAACACGAAAAACTGGAATGGGCCCAACTCATCCCACATAGCATCCAAACTAAACACACGATAAGATTTCTATTTTGGACCGAGTGAGTGCACGTACTTCCTCATTTCCAAAATTCCATCAGTCCTAAATAATATTAAAACCTTGTTTTCTAAGTAATTAAATGATTTTAAAATTTTAACCACATATATAATTACTAATATTTATAAGGTGTAACAAGTACTACTTATAAAATATTCTGTAATAAATCTATTTAAAGATATAAATAAATAAAAATATTATTTTTATAAATCTAGTTAAATTTGAGATTATTTAACGCATTGAGAAGTGTAATCTCTATTATTTTTTATTTACGGGTGAGGTAACACTTATATATATACACAGAGTTATGTAGGCCAAATTGAGGATTTTACCTGTGTACCATTAAAAAAGATTGCCCTTGTTTATATGTCACTAAAAAGTTCGAATGCAACTAGGTGTCGTCCACCTAAAATTTTTTTAAGCCAATCCGTCTCCATTCTGTTTGGTTTTCACGGTTTGAGAGCCCTAACATGTGGAGACGGATCAGAGAAATTGTCTAAAATACCCTTCTCTTGTAACTCTATCATCTCCCTTGTTTCTCTCTCTGCGCGATGGGACCAAGCAGTCAGCGACTCCAGCACCTTCTTCCTCCTCAAGCTGACGCCACCTCCCTTTCCGTCCACGGCGAGACGGCATCGAGCCGGCATCCCAGCCCACCGCGCGCCCTATCTCTCGAACCCGACAGAGATCAGCACGCCCCACCATGTCCGCGCCCTCACTCCGCCTCACCTTCCTTCTTCCCCCTTCATTTTTTTCTTCTTGCGAAATCTCCGGCCACCATTCCTTCAATGGCCGCCCTGGCCGAGCCCTCCCCGCAGGCGTGTGCCTCTGTAAAGACCGCGAGAGCTCTGCGTGTGCGCGATGTTGTCGCCTTGCCACTCCCCATGGCCGCCATCCCGCCCCAGCGCCCACACTCGCCGCCGCCGCCATTGTCGAGCTCGTCGATCTCCGCACACAGCTCGGCGGCGGGGTCGCCGGCTGCTGGGCTCCGCGAGATTCTCCTCGTGCGAGACGCCGGGGAGCAGGAACGGGAGAGCTCGGCGCCAAGTTCATGGCGGCCGGAGCTGGGCCAGTTCGACGGGTGGGAGAGCTCCGGGGAGGAGCAACGGGAGCGCTGGGGCTGGTGCCACCGCAGCCGCCGCGGACCCCAAGGGCGCCGCCGACGACACCGAGGTCGCCACCGGCCGCTGTATCCGCCTCTGGCCTGTCGGGACATGCGGTCGCCGCCGCCGCCGAGGTCACTGTCGACACCTCCACCAGCAGCGCCAGCACGCACAGCGGTAAACGTCTCTCTCTCAGTCACCAGCAGGATGTTGCCAATGGCCATGAGCTTGGCGTCGAGGCGGACTTCGCCTTCTGCTCCTCGGCTTCCATGGCTGTCTGCGGACCACGGCCGTCGCGGACCACGTTCAAGGACGGGGTGGCCCCGGACGCGGTCGTGCTAAACATGGCCATCGCGGCGTGCGCGCAGGCAGGGCGCTGGAGAGGATGGCACGGGAGGACGGAGTGCGGCCAGACGGCGGCAATGCTGGGGGCGCTGTCCGCGTGAGGCACGCTGGGAACGTCGTGATATGGGAGGTGGCCAGGTGGGTGCTCCGGCTGCTAGCCAACCAGATGGCGCAGAAACGAAAGGAAGGCCTCGTTTAGATTGCAAATTTTCGCAACCTCGATACTGTAGCACGTTTTATTTGTATTTGATAAATTTTGTTCGATCATGGACTAACTAGGCTCAAAAGATCCGTCTCGTGATTTACAACCAAACTGTGTAATTAGTTATTTTTTTACCTACATTTAATGCTCCATGCATGCGTCCAAAAATTGATATAATAGAAAGAGAGTGAAAAAACTTGGAATTTAGAGACAATCTAAACAAGGCCGAAGGAGAAAATAATTTATTTGCATGCTCGCAAGAATGTATCAATGTAACGAAGAAAGCTGATACTTTATGTATGTGCCGTTTATAATTGGGAAATTTGGACATTTCAATGTTATTTGGCCTGCTCAGATATTCGATTTGGCACTCCTAGATCTTTGGTTTGATGCCAAAACACTCAACCAGGCAGTGGCACAAGAGGTAAATGAAACTTACCGCTCGCTTCTCTACCCTGAAGGCATTTAGGTCTTTTCATAACTCCGTCAGCCACCGTTAGCCGTGAATATGGACGGAATGGCTCGAGATATTAAAAAATTTAGGTAAATGGCACCTAGCTATGCTTAAACCTTGTAGTGGTACGTAGATAAGGATCATCTTTTTTAAATAGTATACAGGTAAAACCTAGGCCAAGTGATTTCTACCGTTGCGGGGCACCTTTTCCATCTCAATATTAACGTGCCGTCAATGATAGCACAAATTAATTTAGAGCCAGCACTATTTTGGATTTATTTGGTACATTTTCTGTTTATCCTCTTGTATATACTCCTATGTATGATCTGATTTATGTCCAGGTCATATTTTGTAGTACGGGCTTTTTCCTTTTGTTGCTGAGCCTGGGCAAACATAATACTAACTGGTAATAGGCTCTGAATTCCTAAGATGGTGCCCATGTGTGCTTAATGATTTGCACTGTTGTTTCCTCAGTGCTGCTGGGCAGATCTTTGGACGCTCGAGGAGGAGCCCGTTACTGGGTTTTGATCGCAGATCGTGGGCCGCGGCCCGCGGCCCCGCAGGGAAGAGGATGAAAACGATTGAGGCTGATGATAGAGACATTTCGTAGTTCATACTTCATAGTAGTAGTAGAGATTCATGCACTTCTGAATTTTCTCTTTTCAAGTAACATTATTCTGAATGTAGATTGTTGACGGCAATGATAGAGTAGACTAATATAATGTTTGATTCGCCATTAAAAGTGGCTAATGATTATCTTATAACTAATAGGACTTGTCTCAAATATCTTTGGTTGTAGATTGTAATACACATACACTATTTGAGGTGGTGTATACTGTCTGTACTGTGAAAGTCACTTCTGTTATTTTCTTACACTTGAATGGCTACATGCCCATCTAATAAATCCCTAAAGATAAATGGATTTTTCAGTATCTGTTTGCCCATAACAACATAGATCTACTAGTAATAATAAAGAGGTAAAATTTTCGGCCATTTTTTTATCCGTCTCCCTCTACCTACCAATCCAGGGAGAGTTTTTTTTTGTCTGGACTTGTATATATAACCCGTGCTCATACGAGTTAGAATAGCTCGCGTCTAGACCAATATGGAGTAGGAATCCTAATCTAAATAGATTTCTCGGATCCTGAGTACTCTAAATATAATTCTTCTATATATATCTAGTAATAAAGAGATAAAATTTCTTTCTTTCTTTTTTGGTATGGCCTCCCTTAACTAACTTCATAAATTTAGAAACTATCGCGGTTCGTATCCGATATTCAGCCTGTTCGTTGGGTGGTTTCTGGGCTGGTTTGGGCTGGCTGGTGCTGGTTTGTTGTGAGAGAAAAATACTGTTGGCTGGCTGGTTTAGGCTGGCTGAAACCAACAAATGAACATGGTGATTGTATTTGTTTTGGAAACTGACAGCTGAGCAATGTCGTATCGTATCAGAACGTGACTTGCTCATGCCAACTCAAACCGTATTTCTGTCTATAAAATACTACACCGAAGCCCATAAAATTTCTAGATTGATTTCTTTTTTCTTCTTCTATACGCTCTAATAGATCGATCATATGATCATATCTATGTAGCATATACCCTGCCAACCTACAAATATGGTACGTATATATATATGCAAAAAAAAGTAAAAGAAAACGAATCTGAAAATATTAGAATAGACACTCATGCTCTCCGACTCCGACTCGGCAATAGCAAGGCCGAAGCCTTTCCAGCCCATGACCTGCAGCTTGGCTCACGCAGGACGCGGCTTGACACTCATGTTTGACGGAACCGGCCATCAGGAGCGTCCGTTCTGATCTAATCTAGGCACGAGGGCAAGGGCCTGCCGTGGCAGTGCCACGGAATTCTGATCTCCATCAATGCATCACCATCAGACCATCGCCGACATGGGGAAGGAGTCACGCACCGACGCCGTTTTCTTTTCTTTTCTGCTTGTTCTTATACAAAATATAAACAAATAATAAATATATAATATTACAGTTCTTTAAACCTTAGCTTTCATTTGCATCACTAAGCTATCGTTGGTGTTTTGGTTTTGTTAGAACCTGACGAGGCAATGGCCCAAGTAATCAAACCATCAGCAGAAAACTTAAATAACCTATTACCTAATTTAATCTAAATAAATGTGTTCCAAACCTATACACATGTATGTGTCTCGAACTTATACACATAACAGTGCAATCCGTGACAGGGTCTGGAACTCGATATTTTAACTCTACCAACATATGTATATTATGAAAATTAAAGGTATGTTATATTTACGAGTAAATATTTATGTGTCTTACAATAGAAGAAAAAAAATTATCGGAGTTAGTATTTTAATTCGATAGAGACTTAATAAGACATTGTAATTGTATACCAATATTAATTTATATTATGGATGTTATGGCCAGCATACATTTAATTACACCAGCTTTTTAATTTTATGGAAAGGATAAAACATAAATAGATATATAACATTTCAGTCCTCATCTTGATGTCTTTTGTTCTCTCGTTGCAACGCATGGACATGTTTGCTAGTTCTTTCTAGTAAAATAAAATTGTCAAAAGATACCACTGCCTCCGCATGGCTGCAGCCTGCAGGTCCGTCACCAGCGGAGAGCCCCTCCAAGCTCATGTGATGCTACGGAAACCCAGTTAGGATCTCGGCGCCGTCGCTGGTGACCAGCACGGTGTGCTCGAACTGCGCGCTGAGGCTGCCGTCCACCGCCACAGCCGTCCAGCCGTCGTCCCACACCACGCACTGCGTGCTCCCCATCGACAGGGTTTGCTCAGCATTGCTGTCCTGTTCGTTTGTCTGATAAGTCATGACTGGAAGTACCGTTGGCTCATTCGTTGTGAGAGAGAAATACTGTTTATTGACTGAAAAAATACGGCTTATAAACCCAGCGATCAGGCCATGCATTGCATGGAGTCGGTGGCCATTCGGTGATCAGTAAACAATTCCCTGAACGATGAATCGATGATAAAAGATCATGGGAGGAGAGGAGAGAGAGAGAGAGGGGTCTTGGGACGGACGCTTACCGATGGTGAATGTCTGGCCTGCGACCATCAACCCTGGCTCGTAATCGTCTGTCACAGGGATGTGTCTTCAGGCCGTGTTTAATTACTTACAGGTGTGCCATATGATGGGTTCGCAATGGAATATCCTCCCAATGCCGTGCCCAACAAAGGGGTCGATGCCATAGCCATATTTCTCTGCGCGCTCACTGAAACAACCAATGCAGAGTCTCAATCGCCGACAAGACCAGGTTCATCGCAATAAAAAGTTCAACAGTAAAATGCGGTAAATATGTTCTTAGCAATCAAAGTTCTATTCAGATGATACCCAACGGTACCAGAAAAGTGCCGTACCTAAGAAATAAGCTTTATATATATAAAAAAATCGCTTATCTGGGTGTCAAGGAAGCATCAGAAGATTCATGCTCACATATGTTCGATAAGAGAGATCAAGACCCTATTCTCTGTCCAATTTCCTTGAAACTAGCACCATGCTTGCAGGCTGATATGCCGCGCATCATGCACTCTTCAGTGACCTAGTACACACCAGAAAAGATTTATGTTAAGGAAGTAGTCAGATAGAAAGCAGAAATGCAGAATCACACCTTCCATGCTCAACAAAAGAATCACACTTTCACAAGTTGCTTAGTAGCGTCATCGACTTCTCCACACAGGTATGTTCTTGAGGTGTCCCCATGGTAGCCCTGGAGCAACAGCTCATGTCACTTTACGACGCCAACATTACTATATTGATTGATCGCATTAGAACAGAGCAACGATGAGAAAAAAATATGCGTCGGTTGCAGATGAAAAGAACAGCAGGTAGCACACATACGTTTAAATAGACAGTAACATCAATGTTGATAATGTCTCCATCCTGCAAGGTCATTGGGAGTAAGCATAACTGTAACTGTTCAGCTCAAAATTTGCCTCTATGGTTTGACAAGAAATGCTTCTGACTAACTGGAGTACAATCAAAGCAGAACTTAGAAGAAGAAAAAAAGCGCCTCAACCTGTAGCTCGCGTGAGTCGGGGATACCGTGGCAGGTGCACTCGTTCACCGACGTGCACACGCTCTTCGGGAAGCCCCCGTATCCAAGTGGGGAGGGGTAAGCGCCGGCGTCGACGATCATCTGGTGCACGGCTCTGTCGATCTCATCCGTCGTCACAGAGGGCTGCAGCATGTGCAGTTGTGCACGGGTCACAAATTTCTCGACAGAAAGCGAACCAGATCTGCAGGACACGCGCTCACTACTCTACTCAACTCACTCACTCTCTCTCAAAAAAAAAAAAAATCTACTCAACTCACTTTGACCATGGCTCCGGCATGGTGCAGGACTCGAGCGGCGAGCTCGCAGGCGTTCAGCATGCGCATGATGCTCTCGCCGTCGTGCACCTGCCGGTCCGGGCACACGTCCGGGACGGCGTCCGTGCCGACGTAGGGTGGCCGGGACCGGCACCGGGAGCCGCGCGCTGACGGCCCCGCGCCGCAGCGGCTCCCTCTCCCTCCTCTTGGCTCCTCCTCCAGAGCCCTGCACCTCTGCGGCACTTCAGTTCGACCGTGTCAGGTTGCAGGTGTATGCGACTGTCAGAAAATTTGAGCTGCGGATTTGAGCACCAGCAGAGGATCCTCGTGCTCGTCGATTTCGCACGTATGCACGGCGTTCTGGATGCTACGCGGACTGGCGCCTCAAGGGCGGCGTCACCTGCGAGAAGCAGAGCGGTGGAGACAAGGAAGGAAAAATAGCATCAAGGAATGGGGATTGGGAGTCAAATTAATTAATCAGAAAGGAGAAGCACGCACCTGGACTGCGGCAGCGCAATGCGGTGAACGGCGACGAGAGGTGCTGGTTGAGATCGGCCGCCGGTAGCCTCGCCGCCATCGCTGCTGTTGGGTATCAGGCGGCGGCGCAGGGCCCGCGGATGGCGGGAAGTGGGTGAGGAACCGAGGGTAAGGCGAGCGCAGTTGGAGGAATGGTATTCAGTATTCACTGCACCACTTGACTACAGTCTCAAGGCCCAGGGAGGCAGGAACAGAAAGATTTCGAAGAAAGTCTACGTAACAGCTCAGCTATTAAGCGCGGAATACTTCGCTTTCTAAACTATAAAATCGGATTTTCTATCCATAAACTTTCCAAAATCGGTCAAATAATCCCAAACAGTTTTAGATGGTGGTTTTGCTATTGTAACGATGGTTTTATTTTTTTATTTTTTATTTATTTCCACTGAATCTTTAAAAAATCATATTAACTCATAGAAAAAACCATAAAATATAAAATCCAATTTTATTAGACTCCATGCGAGTAGATCTACACAGTGAACATATAATATGGTATGCTTTAGTATAAAGTTTTTGCTGTAACTTTATATCTATGTTTTCTGTAATTAATTGAAATAATTCATAGCTGCAGCTTTCATGGTTCAATTATGATGAAATATTTATGATGGGATAATTATTATATGCTTAAACTGTAGTAAAAATTTTATCCTCATAGGATCATATATAACTTAGTTATAGATGTATTTAGGTTTATGCTGGTTAAATATATGTTTTATCTATAACTACCTAAATACATCTATAACTAAGTTATACATGATTCAATGAGTATAAATTTTTTACAATAGTTTAAGCATATAATAACTAGCCCACCATAAAAATTTCATTTAATCACAATTGGACTAGAGGAACTGCAGCTATGAATTATTCCATTTAATTACAGAAAAGCGTAGATCTAAAGATACATAAAAAACTTTATACTAAAGCATACCATATTATATGTTCACTGTGTAAAATTATATTTCCATTTTATGATTTTTCTGTGATTTACTATGTTTTTTCAAGGATTCAGCAAAAATAAATAAAAAAGAAAAAGACAAAACCACTGCAACTGTAGCAAAACAACCGTCCAAAACCGTTTGAGGGGGGGGTTTATTTGACTGGTTTTGGAAAGTTCAAGGGGTAGAAAATCCGGTTTTATAGTTTGGGGGTGAAGTAGTCCACCCTTAATAGCTTGGAGAATTACGTAGACTTTTTTCGAAAGATTTTTAACCCCCGAATTGCAGGGACAGGAAGTTTTAGGGCCAGCGAGGCAGAGACATAAACGTTTTCGATAATGCTATGAATCGGGCGTCTGTTCGCCCGAACGCTATGTTGCTAGGCTACGACGCCAGCCCAACAATTCACGCTCCTTAGTATCTCAAAAGAAAAAAATTGCTTATCCACTTATTTCTATTCACTCGTTTCTCTTCATATCGTTCTTATCCACTCGCCTCCGGCCTCCGAAAGCGCGCCCGCTAGCCCTCCGAGGCGCACCGCTTGGGCGTTGGCCTTGCTAAGCACGGCGCGTGGCCGCCTCCGAGTCACGGCACGAGGCTGCCGTCCCTGGCAGGCGCGGCGTGCGGCTGCCCTATCCAAGTCGCGCGACCGCAGCCTCTCCGCCGCTCGTGCAGCCGATGCCTCCCTTCCACGACGTTCAGCCACTACCGCCGGCTATAAGTGTCGCCGAGCCACTGCCTCCGGTGAACACCACAGACCGCGCGAGCCTCCATTTTGCTGAGCAGCAAGGAGATGTGGCGTTGGAAGCGCATGTTTCAAGAGTATGTTTCAATTATTTCAAATGTTTCAGAGATATGTTGCAAGTGTTTCATATGGATGTTGCAAAAATAGATCGTGATGTTGCACATGTTGCAATGGTTGTACACATATGTTGCAAGCGTCTGTTTTAAATGTTTCTTCTGTTTTTTCAAATGTATGTTGCAAGTATGCTTATTTGGACGTTACATTTGTTTCACATATGTTGCAAGAGTATATTTAAAATGTTTTAGTTGTTTTAATCTTATGTTGCAATACGTGTTTTTATGTTGCAAATTGCAAGTGTTTTATCTGGATGTTACATATGTTTTACACACATGTTGTAAGTGTATGTTCCAAATATTTTATGTGCTTCAGACTTATGTTGAATTTAAGTGTTTCATGTTACAAGTGTTTCGTATTTTAGATGTATGTTCGGAGAGTCATGGGGGCACAGCCCGAGCACGGGGGGAAGGGCGTGGCGAGCCGAGGGCCAGCGGATGGGATGCGCGGCGCGTCTGGGGTCATGCAGACGGGGTGTGCTTGTCCTCTTCTCGGCTCCTGGGTCCCGCCCGCACGGAGAGAGAGGAGGGGGTCGGGGAAAAGGAGCGGCGGGGCGAGACGGACGAGGGCAGGGTACGCGTGCGTGGCGAGACGAGGCAAAAGGGGAAGGACTACAGCGATATGGTGGGGGCGTAACACGTTTCTGCAGGGCCGGTACTGTCCGATGGAATCCTATCACATTAGAAGTCCGAGCGCCAGCAATTCTCAAATGTTCCCACCCCCCTCCCCCCTCAAAATGTAGGGATAGAAGGTTTCATGATCGCCCTGTTAGAAGAAAATAAAATAGAGCAAATTTTAGGGTCTATTTAGACGGTTACTAGTTGAGGCTAAATATTAACTTAAATTAGCTGTTGTTGGCTAAGTTGAAGATTTCGCTAAAAAAAATTAGCCCACTTATTATTCCTCTTATTTAAATTCACTAAGCTAATTTTTAGCTAGCTAGATATTAACCCTAGTAGGCCCTATAAACAGGGGCGTACACATGTATGTTCACCACGCACGCATATCTCATTTCCCCTCCTCTTTTTTCATGGAAAATCATGAATTGCTTAATAATATTTTAGTAAAATGTTTCAAAGTAGAGGAAGCATAAATTATGATGAAACTTTTGAAACAAATATACTCATTTAACTTCAAATATGCAAAACCGCCCCATAAAAGTCGATTGTAACCAAATTTTTGTATCCACCTATTACATGCAACTTAAACAACACTGTCTTTTATTAGAGGGAGAAATAAGGACTTTTTAGAAAGAATCATACTATTTTTATATGTGAGCTTGGATCATGGCCACTTGACTCACAGTTTGGAACACAGAGTGCGAGGTTCGGTTATATAGTATTAGCTCGATAGCGCGCTCTCCGCTCCACGGGCGACAGGAAGGAGCACAAACAGCACCGGGAGAACAGTTAAAAGGAGGTGAACAGTAAAAAGGATAACCAATGTTACAAACAAACATAGAAACAATGCCAAAAACTGCATTAACAGTATGTGAACAGTGTCGAATAGTGTTTGGTGGCGTAGGAGTCAGCAATTTATTCGTGGTTGAACAAGTATATGAACTGTGCTGCAAGCAAGTACTGAACAGTGTGAACAGTGCTTGGTGCCTGGGGGAGCATTTTATTCACGGTTGAGGATAACTTCTCAGGACTCGTTAGATTTCTTCAGCTTTGGCCATCAATTCTAAAATGCATATAGACCAACAAAATTTAAATTTATTGAAACCATTTTATTATATCTAAGCCCGGGCCTTTTTTTTAGCTCAATTCGTCCTGCAAAATGTTTAGGTCTAATGTGATACCATGAAATAGTCTTTCACAAGAATGTTGGTTCTACGCCATCATTAGAGCCTACCACATCTTGTCCTACCTAGCATGTGAATTTCTACTAAAGACTAGATAGTATGTCCGTGCGTTGCTACGGGACAGCAAAACTTTTGTAATAAAAAACACAGATCGCACGCTAAATAACCTTACTGTTTAATAAAGGTACTTTTGATTATCATAAAAAAAGTATTAACATGCAATATTATCTTGTCTATAGAGCTAGAACCTCTTTATAGATGATATTCATTAGGAATATTATCATTTAACAGTTTCTTCCCCTTGTTCATGTTCTTCTCAACAATTAACACTGTCAAGATCCTGATATTAGATCTTGCTATGGATATAGATAACGCTACATACAATTGGCTATGTAAAAACACTGGTAAGACAAAGAAACCTAGTCTATGCCCGTTGCAACGAAACAACATATACACAAGAGTTTGACTTGTTCTCGGTAAGGCGAGACCAGCTAGCAGCCACACAAGCACATTGCGAGTTACATACACGAGGGACACATGGCGAGTTACGTACACAAGGGGCACATGGCAAGTTACATGCCTACTAACCCATCTCCCCTCTCTAATATTGCAGCACGATCTTGTGGTTCCAATGATATTTCAAACCTTGTTTAATATTTCCAAACATCAAATATTTGCAAACCAGAGGGAGTACGACGAAAACTTATTGCAACAGAAAACTTGGATGACATAGATACAATCGGAACCTTTGTATAAAGTTAGTAAGGTTCCTAACAAAAACTATTAAGACACTCAAAATAGATATTGTCCACTACAAAGTCTTTAAACCAGACTCTCCATTTTTTGAAGTATCTGTGTCAGCACTAATTAACCGGGAATGGGAACGTGAAGCGGATCATTAAGCACTGCCACCTTATCGAGAAGATCGTGAGCCTTTGAATGCTGCCGGTGAAGAGGGACGTCATCTCCTATGCGGTTTCCTGGTCAATCTCCTCAAGGTTGCCAACATCTTGAGCGCATCCAACGCAGACCTGTTGATTCCATCATTGTCAGAACCAATTCAAATGTAATCAGACATGTTGTCAGGTTCATAAACCCAGGGTCCCTCATAGACCTGCTTCCCAGCAAAAGCTCGGCCCAGCAGACGACATTGCGAACGACACGCAACTCCTGGGCCGGCCCAAATACCTAACGACAAGCCAGAAGGGCGATCCAATCTCCGACCGGAAGGCCTGGCCAAGAGGAACGACACCCGTTTCCGACTCCAGCCCGCCTCTCTGACTGGAAGGCCTGGCCAAGAAGGAACAACGCTCGCTTCTGACTCCGGCCCGCCTCTTCGACCAAAAGGCCTGGCCGAGAAGGAACAACGCTCGCTTCCGACTCCGGCCCGCCTCTCCGACCAGAAGTCCTAGCCAAACGCCGTTTCCGACTCCGACCTGCCTCTC